CCGGCACCCTTCGCCCGGCCCCACGTTAATGATCCACCTGCCCGCACCACTGCCGCCTTGAGCCCCCAGCAGCCGCCCCGGCAAGCCGTGCCCAGCAGTGGTGGTAGAGCCGGGGGTCCTCGGCACGGGTGGCTCGGGGGGCTGGCAGCTCCCTGCCCCGCGCCCCACCCCTCCGTCTCAGCACCCAGATAAGAGCGGCTGCTGGCAGCACCCATTTCCTAGTGCACGGCGTGGGTGGGAGAGCTGGCCGGGACCATGGCTGTGGCGACGGTGAACCTCCGCGCCGTGACCTCCTGGGTGGGCATCACCCGGCTCTTTGCCATTGTGCTGTCCTGCATCGCCTTCAGCTTGGTGGCCTCCACCAGGGACTTCATGGGTCCCTACGGGACGTGGTGCATGTTCACCTGGTGCTTCTGCTTCGCTGTGACGCTGCTGGTGCTGGTGCTGGAGCTGCTGGAGCTCTACCCCAAGCTGCCGCTCTCCTGGGACGACTTCACCTCGGCTTTCTCCATGCTGGCAGCGTTGATGGTCTTCACCACCTCGGTGGTCTTCCCCTCAACCTTCATCAGCAGCCCCTGCAGCAGCAGCAAGTGTGCCCGGCAGGCCGTGGCCACCACCGCCTCCTGCCTCTGCTTCCTTGCCTACGCCCTCGAGGTGGGGCTCACCCGCGCCAAGCCAGGGGACATCAGCAGCTTCCTCTCCACTGTGCCGGGGCTCCTTAAGGTCTTCGAGGCCTATGTGGCTTGTCTCATCTTCTCCTTGCTGGATAACTACGGTTCGGAAGCGGGCCTGCAGTGGTGCGTGGCCGTCTACTCCATCTGCTTCATCGTCACCCTCCTCATCATCATCTTCACCATTGGCCGGTGCCTCGCCTACATGCCTTGCCCGCTGGAGAAGATGCTGGTGGGCTACAACGCCTTGGCCCTGGTGATGTACATCACCGCCACCGTCCTCTGGCCCCTCTACAGCTTCGGCGGGAGGAGCCGCCCTGACCCCTGCGGCAGGAACTGCTGGTGGGACAAGCACCTGGGGGTCACCTTCCTCACCATCTTCAACCTCATCGCCTACTTGGTGGACCTGATCTACTCTACCAGGATGGTCTTCATCAGGGCACCTCCCTAAGGGCTCCGGGTGACCCCGGTGGGGCGAGTGGTGGTGGGATGCTGTTGGGTGCTGGTGCAGGGCTGCCGGCGGAGCTGAGGAAGAGGCCAGATGCCTCGGAAAGCTCCTTCTCCCCACGCTGGAGCAGAGAGCCGTGGGGTGCTCCTGGGGGTGTGCTCAGCCTGGTGCCCTATGGGCTGCCTGGCTGTGGGGAGCAGGGGGTCCGGGAGGGGCACACCAGCGTGCTCCTGAAACCCTGGAGCCGGGGGGGCTTTGGGATATAAAATTGGGTCATTTTTCACTTGCTTCTGCCTCCTTTCTTCCCCTTCCCGGCTTTCTGTGGGATCCTCCCCGGTGGCACGGGGGGCTTGGGGGTGAGAAACTGGGGGGACACCGGCATTGGTGAGGGGGTGCTAGCAGCTGCATGGGGATGCTGGCAGTGGCACGGGGTGGGGCATCGGGCTTCAGCAAATCCTCTTTTCTCCTCCTTGTTGACTCGGCACCGGAGTGAAGCAGGGCATGACCAGGAAAAACCCAACCTGGATGCCTTTGCCTTGGCAGCGGCACAGGACCCTGCCAAACGGGTTCAGGAGGAATGTGGCTGGTGGCGGGGC